ATTTTATATTTATAGTTAATGATTATCACATAGCTAATTTTCTGTGAGAAATTGTATACAAATCAATAGCTTGTATCATCGGTAACATTTCTATTATGAATGTAATTAATGATTTGGGCTACAGCACATAAAAGGATGTTTAAAACATTGGTAGGCTTGAGAACTAGAGAGTAAACACAATAAATGTCTCATTTTACTAGACACAATAAGAGATATATTTAGAAGTGCTAACTGTGCATATTAAAAAAAAACTCTTAAGTAAGTACCTGATAACTTTCTTGATAAAAAGCAAAGTATATTGACTTTTTGATCATTGGCTATCACCTGGTAATTAATACTAATTATTCCTTTAAGAGATGTCTAAGATCCTAAATTCCCAAATCCTTGACCACCTGTCTACTACCTTGTTGATTTCCAAGAAATATTTGTCCACAGAACACTCCTTCCGAGACCAGTGGATGCTCTTAATCACTTGCTTGGCCTTGAGCCCCATATGTGCGTCTCTCGTGGGGAGCTGGACTGGACCGCATGGAAGCTTTACCGTTACCTCTCAGCCTTCCATGGGGGCCGAGGCCAGAGGCTAGTCAGAGAACTCTCCTTCACGATGGCACTTTCCAGTGACCTGCTTGGCCCCAGCTTGTCTTTCCAAGAGACCTTGCAAGCAGCAGACTACTCTTACCACGTCAGCTGCGCAAGAAGGAAACCCTTCTTGCCAAAACCTAACGCAGCGCTAACCTAGGGGCCCACTCTGTGCTTCATTTTCCTTGGAATGTACTCTGGCCCTGACTAACTTTTCAAACGTGGGACCATGCAGGAGACATGACCGGGATACATTTCACTACACTGGCCTTGTACCGTTGAGGAGAGCCAAGAAAAATAAAGTGAGCAAAGAGTCTTCTCACCTGCCTCCCTTGCACGTTACCTCTGCTACGTCTTCCTCTAGTCCGGGAAGAGCTCCTCTTTTCTTTGACTTTTGTCAGAGCTGCTTTTCTGTGGAGTGATTTGATAGAGGAGAGGATCCGTGACCAACTATGTCTTTAGACTCAAAATATAAGCCACATACATGGGTAGCTTTTTCTTTAACACACCTCAACAGGAAAAGTTGTCTTCTAAGCAAGCCAAAGAGACCAGATGCCTGGAGCTGTGCTTTGTAATAGAGATGTGTGGTCACTGAGCCTTTGAAGCCTTAATATTTTGGCTACACTGATACAAGTGAAAATATTATGAAGCTAATTTCATCTTTTTTAAAATTTTAACAACATACGTTTTTATTTACAACAAAGCCAATTGAAAGAGCTACAAAAGGAAATCTTTCAAACAAAACACAAATTTACCAAGATAGTACTTATTTTCAACAAACATATTTTTCCATAATATAACTGTTTACAGAGTTTTTCATATGAATTGTTTCATCCCTCCTACCCTAGAACGGTGTGTACAGTATGCAATCCTTTCCCTAAATGATGGGGGGTAGGGTGGATAGAATGTACAGATGCATACATACAGGATGCTTCTATAGGCCTGAGACATCTCTAAAAGGATTCACAGAAACTCATAACAATGGTCACCTCTAGAGATGCGTCCTGAGAAGCTGGGGTCAGAAGTGAGAAGCCTACTTGGCACTGCATGCCATTTTATACCTTTTAAATGCTGAATTCCATGAATGCAGTTTTAATTTTAACAAAAATGGGATCACACTATACACTGTATTATAATCTCTGTTATATGATGTTAGAGCATCTTTCCTCAACATTCCCTCATGTATAGATTCTATATCTCAGCTTTATGGCTCTAACAGTTCTGTTAGTAATATTATAACGACTATGTGTCCTCCCACCAAACTAGTCCAGTCATTTGGATTCTCACTGGCAATTCCATCAGGCTTCCTTCGATATATCCTGAATTATATACTTACTTTGTGCCGGGCCCTGGTGGCTCAGATGGTGAAGAATCTGACTGCAGTGCTGGAGACCCAGGTTCAATCTTTGGGTTAGGAAGATTCCCCTGGAGAAGATAATGGCCATCCACTCCAGTATTATTGCCTGGAGAATTCCATGGACAGAGGAGCCTGGTGGGCTATAGTTCATGGAGACGCAGATTTAGACACAACTGAGCAACTGACGCTTTAACCTTTCACTTTGTGCCAGGCACTATATTATATATATACATGTGTATATATATATACACATGTATATATATAATATATAATAAATGTACCACTCATTGAGTCCTATCAACAATTCTATGAGGCAGGTACCATGAATATGCCCATTTTATAAAATTTAAAACACAAAACTGAGGCTTAGAAAGATTACATAACTTGTCTAAGGTCATAAGGTCACATATTCTAAAATCCATGCTCTTTTAACTTCTTTTCATCCTAGATTGAACCCATTCAATCTAGGAGAGACAAGTCTCTGAGACTGAGTTTGTTAGTTCCTTAATTGATCTCAAAGCAGCAGCGTTGCTTGCATACATTTTTATGTGGTCTCAACAGTGAGGAAAAAAATGGTGAACCGGGCACTCCACCACACAAGATAAGTCCACAACACTAATAATCCTTCTCTGCCACAGTTGATGAAAATTATGCATAGCACATTTTACTTTACAAATTACAAAAGTCTCTAAAGTATATGTGCTTGTGAAAAACATATCAAACAGTCCATTCAGTTAATACACAAACAGTAATTACAATATTAAAATTTTTAAAACATACCTATGTACAAAGTTGGGGCTTCCCAGGTGGCACTCGTGATAAATAGCCAACCTGATGGCAGGTTTGATCCCTGGATCAGGAAGATCTCTTGGAAAAGGGAATGGAAACCCACCCCAGGATTCTTGCCTGGAGAATTCCAAGGACAGAGGAGCCTGGCAGGCTACACTCCACAGAGTCTCAAAGAGTTGGACACAATTGAAGGGACTTAGTATGCACCTGTGTACAAAGTTAGTTGTTCCATCAGCAGGGTCAATGATCCATGTAGGATTGCCAGTTAAGACACCTTTTTTTCCCCAACTGCCACAGATTACTCACCAATGAAACTGTGAGATGTATCAGTTCAGTTCAGTTGCTCAGACATGTCCAGCTCTTTGCGACCCCATGGACTGCAGCACGCCAGGCTTCCCTGTTCATCACCAACTCCTGGAGCTTGCTCAAACTCATGTCCATCGAGTCGGTGACGCCATCCAACCATCTCATCCTCTGTCATCCCCTTCTCCTCCTACCTTCAATCTTTCCCAGCATCAGGGTCTTTTCCAGTGAGTCAGTTCTTTGCATCAGGTGACCAAAGTATTGGAGTTTCAGCTTCAGCATCAGTCCTCCCAATGAATATTTAGGACTGATTTCCTTTAGAATGGACTAGTTGGATCTCCTTGCAGTCCAGCGGACTCTCAGGAGTCTGTCCAACACCACAGCTACTTTTCCTTTAAGGAAGAGATAAGCATTTTTTCAACTTTATGATCAGTGTATGTTTGTGTTAGTTGCTCAGTCATGTCAGACTCTTTGCAACCACATGGACTGTAGCCTGCTAGGCTCCTCTGTCCATGGGATTTTCCAGGCAAGAATGCTGGGGTAGATTGTCATTTCCTCCTCCAGGGCATCTTCCCAACCCAGTAATTGAAGTTGGGTCTCCTGAATTGGCAGGCAGACTACCATTTGAGTCACCAGTGAAGCCAGTAGCAGTTACCAAATCAAATGGAGAGCTTTTAATCATAGCATTAATTTCATTTCTTAGAGCTTCATGAACCACCTCTCCAGCGTGTCTTGCTAGGGTTACTGCATAATCAATGCATTCATGACAAGGATCAGCCATCTCCTCTTGCAGGAGGACATAAGGCTGGGACCCCGGCAGGATCCAATGCTGGGGTCTTCCAGAGGGAGAACTAATTTCAACTTTAGGGGGAAAATAAAGCACTATTTTAATGCTATTACCAGAAATGCTAAAATTGCCAGTTACTCACATTAATTTCTACTGGACAGAGCTATTCTATAGGCATATGTCATGCCCATAAATGAAGTCAGATTCAGTTGCAGGCTTAAGAACCATAGTGACCTTTGCCGTCACAAGTCTGAAATGAGTAGAGTTTGCTAGTAGTTACCTAATAGAACTTGTTTATTCACAAGGCTGTATGTGATAGAACCTGCTAGGGGCAGAAGTTCTATCATGGCCTTTACATTTACCTGGATATGAGAACATGGTGGAAGCATTCAGCCCTTCTTTCTGGATAAATCAGGCCAGTTTTTAAAAGACTGGTCTCCTTCCCCACATCTCCCAGGGTGCTGTTTCTTGCACAGCTCTTTGCTTCCCAGAGCCCCGAGTCTGACAGTACCTGAGGCTTCTGTGCCGTGTCACGCAGAAGGCACTCGGTCCCACACCACGCCAGCTGCGGGCGCCATATAGAAAAGTCATCCCATATACACTGTACAGAGTGTTTCTGAGGCCAGAAGGAATGTGGAAGAATGTGTAACTGATCTAGCTGTATCTTTTCCTTCCCTTTGAAAATTTTAATCATTGACATATCTTTAGTCTATAAATAGAATTATGTAGGGAGATAATTCTGAGTCAAAACCAAATATGTACTTTTGTTTTTATACGGACATGGGGCTGTATATGGATGTATGAAGATGTAGGTTGACCATTTAGATACAGATGTGTTTGACTTTCCAATAAAATGTGTGGATGTGTAGACGAATGGAGATGGCATGTGTCAAGCAGGACTTTTTGTATTTGAAGCAAAGATCTCCTCCTTCTATAATAGTTGGAAAGAAAGTTCTGTTTCTGCTTCTGCCTGGTTTAGGTGCAGATTTCTCCTAAATGGCTGCTGAGGATTGCTGGAGAAGGTCACTGTCCTGACTGAGCCCAGCCTTGGGGATGTGCCTTTCATCACTCAGAGCAGGGATCAGTGGACCCATGTAGGGATGGTGCAACTGAAGCCAGGCTTCAGGCTGTATTTGCCTTTGCAGTAACTGCTTTTCTTCTTTTCCTTCCACCTCTTCTAGGCAGAACAGGGCTGCTTGCTGATCTATTGCCCAGTTTTGCTGTGGAGATTATGCCAGGTATTCAGTCATTTAACTCTGTATTTGCTTAATTTGCTACCCCTCCATCTGTCTTGCTTCTGCATTAGTTACTAATTGCTCCTTTAACTTACTTGCACATTTGTCTATATATGTCTGTGGTATTTTCCAGGATGAACTAAGCCCATTGGAAGAGCCTTGAAATTGTATTCCTTCTGTTACTAGGCCCTAAAAGAATAATGGTGATTAAAATAGGCTGAGATGGGGCCCCAGTCCTTGTGTGGCAGGTATGCAGGCCCTTTGACAGCCTCAGTATCTTAGTTGCACCCAGTTGCTATAAATATCTTTAATGGAGTTGTTATTTATCTGCATTCCTTGTTCCCTAAGTTTCATGTTTGAAAGTGAAAGTGAAAGTCGCTCAGTCATGTCCAAGTCTTTGTATAGAGTCCATGGAATTCTCTAGGCCAGAATACCGGAGTGGGTAGCCTTTCCCTTCTCCAGGGGATCTTCCCAACCCAGGGATCAAACCCAGGTCTCCCACATTGCAGGCAGATTCTTTACCAGCTGAGCCACAGGGAAGCCCAGGAATACTGGAGTGGGTAGCCTATCCCTTCTCCAGCACCTCTTCCCGACCCAGGTATCGAACTGGAATCTCCTTCATTGCAGGTGGATTCTTTACCAACTGAGCTATCAGGGAAGCCCAAGTTTAATGTTTACCCATTCATTATTGTACAACCATGTTACTTGGAATTGCCTTTTATAACGTCACCAAAACATTTTTTCAAACCTTATGAAAGCTATGTACCCCTCCTACCTTGAAAAGTACACATTTACAGGTCTATATTGCTTTCTATGCAATCTATATTGCTTTGTATACAATAACAAAGCAATTACAAAGCAATAACAAAGCAATTTAGGACTTTTTGACCTCCTAAATCCCTGGGGTCCATGGACCCTATGTGAAGGACACCTGCACCAAATGCACACCTCTGTCTTTTTCTGTAGCTTCTTTTGAACATATCAGCTAGACAAGCCAGCAATAGTTTGATGCTGCACTATAGCCCATCATGGAAGGAGCTCAGAGAGAAACAAGAATGAACTACGGGAGAGGACATATCCAAAGACAGAAAGTAGAAAAGGGTGAGATTCAGTTTTGCTTTGGAGGGCTTCTGCCAAAGGGTTAAGAGCTGACTAATAATTGAGAGCAACAGAAAGATATAAAATAATCCTGGCGATTGTTTTAGACTTGATTCAAGTTTTAAGAAATATCCAGAGTCCTCACAATTGAGCTTCACTCTTCTGTGAAATCTCCAGATGCTTTCCCATTAGCGGGTTAACCCAAACACAGACATTCTTCTTACTGATGTTGATCCCAAGATCACAAATAGATATTTCTTTGTGATCCACCTTATCCAGAGTTCAGTCAATCTGTACTCATTTATTCATCAGAAAAAAAACCCACAATGTTACACTGCATTGCTTCAAACTACATGTTGTATCTCCAAGTCCCAAGGAAAAGTTATTGTCTTTCTCATATCTGGTCCTGGTCCTCTGAATTTCCCTCCCTTCTGACTCCAAGAATCCTTTCATGGCTAACACTTTTTGTTTCTCCAGGGCAACCTGCCAGTCTTTAATCCTTGACTGCCTGACCCAAGTTGTAGCCACCATACCACACATCTCTTCTAGTCCTCAGGGCCCATATCTATCTCAGGTCACACTGTGTTATTATGTCAGTGCAAAGGCAAGGCCAAAGCCTTCAACTAGCTACTGTCCTTAGCAAGAAGCTCTTCCAGAACATTCTGGCCTTCTCACTTCCTGAAGAGAGGGTGCCCTGGTTAATCTGAGTGTATTTCTATTGGGTGAGTGAAGAGGGACACAGGAAATCGAAGTTGTGTGTTTTCTCTGAGAAAATTATGTTCTAAGCAAAGGTCAGATAACTTTATCATTATCACAAAACCCTTTATCTAACCAAAATGTTGTATTCTCAAGCTCTAAATGAATGTCCTATTTTGTTGAAGAAATATTTAATAACTAAAATTCAAACAAAATAATGTATACTTGAAATTGGTTGCGAAGGGATTTTTGGTAGATGGTTTTGAATCAAAATGAATCTCTTTAATCTTTTGCTTTGAAAGGAAATCATGGCTCATTCCAGTCCATCCCAGGCCCCCAGCAGGACATTAGGTCTTATAGCCAAGTCCCAAAAGCATGACATCAAGTCACTCGTGGGCCACAGTCATTTTTATCTAAGCCAAATAGAATTTGTTTCCTTTCTCTTTATCTGTTGGATGGGCAAATGAATTAAATTCATATTCAGTCTCTGGCCGAGCTGTGAAAATAGCTGATGTTAACAAACATGGTCAGATATACACATTAGCCTTGCTGGTCATCACAGCCTGAACCACTTTAGTCCGTGGCTACGCTGGCTATGTAGCGTGGTCAGCCTGCCTGTGATCAAACCATTCTTAGGGGATAGGGACAGCATTTCTCTATCAGAGCCTATGTCTCTAGTTTTTTCTAGGAAATGGTTTTAATCTCAGTTCTGATGCTGAGCACAGGAAAGGCGTCAAGAGGCAGTCAGCAGAGAAAGCAGATGGCTACATAAGGGACCTGGACTGCCTAAAGGTGTTCTGATTTAGACCACATAGACACGGAGAACTTTTTCTCAGGACTTACACTATTAAGGGATAAGATTAATTTGACTACAAAAGATACATATTCATGGAAATCACCACTTTATAGCTCAGCAAGCAAAGTCCCCTGTCCCCAGCCAGGAGTGTCTCCACTCTTGTCCCCTACCTATTCTGACACCACAGTCAGTAAGGTAAGCCCTCTCCCTGGGAAGGGGCCCTGAAACTGCTCCTAGCGTTTTATAGTGGACATGATGTGTGTGCAGTATGACCTGGGTAACTGTCCCTGCCCTCCCCGCCCCAGCCCAGCCCAGCCCAGGGAGGGCCTGCAGCTCTCAGAGGCAGAGTCCCTCCTGAGTCTGGGGGCTCTGTGCCCCGTTACACGCTCCCTCTCCCAGGGAGGCCCCGGCGGGGGCCGCCGCGAGTGCGGGTCTCTCTGTGCATCCCTGCAGAGTGGGTGTTTGTCGGCCTGGTGGTCCTGGGAGTCGTCCTCTCCTTCGTCCTGGTGGGGATCTGCTGGTGCCAGTGCTGTCCTCACAGCTGCTGCTGCTACGTCCGCTGCCCATGCTGCCCCGACTCCTGCTGCTGCCCTCGGGCCTGTGAGTAAGAAACGCCGCCTTCCACCAGACAGCTCTGTGCCCTGAGCGCCTCGTCCGCCAGCCGTCCTGCCACCCCAGAACGCATCATCCCAGACTGCCCTCTGCTGGGAGCCCCTGACTTCCTGAGATGGCCATTCCCGTTTGCCTTCTCACACACAGGCACCTCTCCATGCCTTTGATCCACACTTACGTCCCTGCATTTGGACTTCTCTTAACACTACTGATGAAAAGAAGGGCAGGTTCAGGATGGTGAGGCTGTGGGGTAAGGCTTTTGCCCTTTCCTTGGGCATCCAAACCAGAGAACACTTTCTCTGGCCATGCCTCTCACGTGCAGAGAACTCTTCTTTTTACCAGCAGCATGTGCAAAGTACAGCCTTTGGGTCCCCTCCAGCCACAGAGGAGTCTTATTTACTCCTATGACAAAATGGTCCACAAAGGAACTCGTCCTCATTTGGGGATTCACAATTTTACCTCCCTGGCAGCCCATATAGGCATTAAGTTTGGCACCCCTGCCGTAAACATCTTGAAGGAGAAAGACACAATATGTATCTTTACTATCCTTAGGAACACTGCGGATTCTATGAGGCATCAGGTTATCTGCTCTGCTTTTGAACTCAAAGAGCAGGGCCATGTGTCAGCGCATGGCTGGCTTCACCTCTCTAGAAGAGGTTTGGATCCTCTGGGCAGTCCGAGTGCTAGGCCTCCTACAGACGCTGAGGCAGCCTACATTCAGGGTGGTTAAGAGTGGGCTGCTACTGCCCCAGGGGAGGCTGCTGTGACAGCTCCCAGCACCACTGAATTACTCAGTTGCCAGGTACCACTAAACACTATAATCCCTTATGTCACTGCTGGAGGAGTCCAAGAGAGCTGGGGAGAGTGCTTCCAATGAACCAAGTCAGGCCTAGTAGAACACACACACACATACGTGAGCCCGCGCCCGCGCATACATCCAGGAACTCCCTTAAGCGCATCTTCAGGGATTCTTGATGTGAGGGTTGTGGAGGGTGGAACGATGTAATCTCTCTTACTCTTCATCTTCCTCCACAGTGTATGAAGCAGGGAAAGCAGCAAAGGCCGGGTACCCTCCCTCTGTCTCCGGTGTCCCTGGCCCTTACTCCATCCCCTCTGTCCCCTTGGGAGGAGCCCCCTCATCTGGCATGCTGATGGACAAGCCGCATCCACCTCCCCTGGCACCAAGTGACTCCACTGGAGGAAGCCACAGTGGTAAATGCAGTTCCAGACTGTCCTGCCCCACACTCCTGTCGGGCTTCCACTCTGATTCCTTGCTGATAAGAACCATCAGCTCAGTGATGCTTCTGTGGACAATGATTATCTCCATTCTGGAAATGGGATCCTGACAGCTGGATCAGATATCTCCTGAAATGCATGTCAAGCTTGCCAAGGGCTACAGGACATAGTTGCCCCTTGCTTTCTTCCTGGGCCCCACAATAACTAAAATCATAAGAAAAAGAGACAAGGTACCCCCTGAATGTTGATCATTCAGTTAATAAATAGTTATCTCTTCCACGCCTAGTGCTCAGGACTTAACCGGGTCCTCTGAGGAACACCCAGAAGTGTAGGACATGGTTTGTCTAACCAGCAGTATGGCCCAGCCAGGCAAAGAGAATGGACCTTTACTAGACAATTAGATGCTACAGTGTATGTACTGGGAGTTCAAAGAAGAAAGAGCTGGAATGCTTACAAAGTCTTCAGGGAGGAGGTGAGATTAGAGCCGGGCTTAGAGGAGTGAGAAGGATTAGGAAAGCAGAGACACTCACAGGCCAACATAGTGGAAACCCAGAGCTAAAAGAACAGTGTGTGTGTTTGACCAGCTTGTTGGTCTGACTGGCAGACCATGGAAGAATATGGTGGAGCTAGATTAGGCAGGGCCTTGAAGCCCCTCCAGAAGAGCCTGGGTTGGTGCCATAGTAACTGAGAACCCCTGCAGCCAGGCCAGTGGCAAGGCGACATGCTGACAAAGTGCTGAGTAGGACACAGGAGAACCAGAGACCTTGAGCCGAGGTGTGATTGATAGGTTTCAGGTGGGACATTATGATGCAGACAGAGGGAGTTGAGTGGTAAATCTGAAAGACGCTTTGACAGAGCAAGCAGTCAGATGTTGGAAATCTTTAGGACGAGCCCAAGTTGTCTAGTGGTGTATATCCTAGACAGAGAAGAAATAACTGGTAAGGAGAGTTTATTTGGATGATGATTAGCACCACTGAGGGCATGATAAATTTGTTGTTATAGGCAAGGGCAGAAGCGTACATGGGCATTAAAATGGAGCTTTCCTGGAGGCATCTGAACAGGACTATACAGAGTACCAACAGTCAGAACTGTGTACGGAATATATTTAGGAGGTGACTTTTAAATCCCTAGATGTAAATGAGCCACAGGGTTGGTGAAACAGAGGTTTCTCCCCTGGAGGGCTCTGGACAGACTTGAGTGGGAAGCGGGGGAGAATGTCTAGTTCGTTCAGTGACCTGTCAGTGCTCCACCATGGAAGGGGGTGGGTATCCTCAGTGAGTAATTGGTACTTGTGTTTTTTCTCTCTCAGAAACTATTAGTAGAATTCTGATGTATGAGATCGGGAATGAGTCATAGACTGAGAAGTAAAAGTTAATCATCAAGGACACACAGGGCATTAGAGAAATAAAAACAATACAGTCCGTTTTCCCAAAGGATGCAGAGGGCAAAAGAGGCATTACGAGGACATGTCTCTGCCTTTTTCTCCCAATCTTCTTTCTCTTTCCTTCCCACCAGGACCCTTCCCCCTTAGTTTTTATTGAGTAGATTCTCTTAATAAAATGACTATTATTTATAGGACGGCAAATAGTTCTCTCCTGTTTTCAACTTTTTTCCAGTTCCTGCTTGTTGCAGTTCAATCATTTTGACCCCATCCTGCCATGCTAACCAACTGTAGTTAGAAGTGGCTTAAAAAAATAGGAAAAAAATACGAGTTCACATAGTGAGAAATTCCAAGGTAAGGTGGTTCTGGGGTTGGTTAATGGAAGAGTTCAAGTGGCATCACTGAGAGACCTGCTTCTTTCCATCTTCCGTTCAGCACCCTGAGTGCATCCTCTGTTCTCCTGGATTCGTTCCCCTCCAGGTCCCATGATGACTGCCGTAGTCTCAGACACTATCTGCATTCAGAGATGGGAAAGATAACGCTTCTTCCTTGTGCTTCTTTGCCCAAAAGGGAGGAAGGCTTTTCCATAAGTCTCCTTCCCTTCCAGCAGACTTCTACATGTCATTTTATTGGCAAGAATTATGTCCTGTCTCCATTCCTAAACCATATTGACTTGGACCCACCAGGACTCATCTCTCAGGCCAAAACACCTATTCACCTCAGAAATGAACAGTCAGAATTCTGTTAGCCAGGAGAAAGGGGAGGATGCACAACCAGCTTTGGCCACAGCTAGTCTGGCTCATGTTACCTGGCCTACTGAGTCAGAAGTGAATTCTTCATGATCCCTACCAGGCACATTTCTGTACTCATGGTCCCATGGACAGAACTACTGATGGCATTTAGCTATTTCTCCTTTAAGAAAGGTGGCTTAAGCCAGCATTCCATGCAGATTGTTTTTCAAAGAATGTTAGAAGTGTTAAGAAATGCTGATTTAAAAGATGTAAATTTAGCCTATTTTATATTTTTATGCTACTTCAATTTTAGGGTAATCATCTAGCAACAGTAATTTTTCAGATTACATTTGTACACAATACTCTTTGCATGTTCTATATAGTTGAAAAGGCATCTTTGATGAGCTATATATAGTATAGCCAGTTAGTTACCAAAAGGGGGAGAGAGAAAAGGAATCCTGACTCCTCCCCCCATTCTTCATAGCAGCTATTTATTACCTCTTTACAAAAAAAAAAAAAAAAAAAAGCCTGTATCCTTCTGCCCTGCTCTTGATCCATTGCTTTGTCAAGGTTCTCTTTCTATTGAATCTCCAAATCCCACCCCATTCCCACCTCCTATGTCTGGCCTTTCCTTCTTTAGTGACTTCTTCCTGTCAGCATTCAATACATGCTCAGATCTCTCGCATAAAAACACAACAATTTGCAAAAACCCTAGTCCTCTAATGCTGTGTCCCTGTCCACTTTCCCCTCTTCACAGATAAACTTCTTGATAGAGTTTTGAATATTTAATATGTCCTTCTCCTCTCCTCAGCTAACTTCTGTCTTGCTGTCACTTCTGCCTCTCCAAAGACCAGCTCTTGCCGAGATTGCCTTATCGCTAAATCTAATGGATGCTTCTCAGAGCTTGCCCCCGTGACTTCTCAGCAGCATTTGCCACCCCTAATGATACATTCATATTCTTTGCCCTCCTCAACACTGTGTTTTGTAGCTTTCCCTAGCCATATCGCTATATGCTGGCTGTTCTTCTCTGCACATCCCCTAGATGCTGGTGTCTCTGTTTTGTCCAAGGTCCTCTCCCTGGGAAATCTTACGTTGTGCATGGCCTCAGTCATCACCTGTATGCTGATGACTGCCAATCGTTATGTGCAGCCTCTCTCCTGTTCCTCATCCCACACATCCAACTGCCTTCTGGACATTTCCACCTTAATGTCTTTCAAGCATTTCCAATTCAACCTCTATCTAGGAAAGGGAATTCATCTGCTGTTTCTCAACCTCAGACCAACTCCAGCATTTCTTATTTCAGCGGATGGCACTGTTAGCCACCTAGTAGCCCCAACCAGAAGCAGGGACTTGATCCTTATCCCTTCCTGTTCCTCACTTCTCTCATCCAGTTGGTCACCAAGTCCTTCAGACAGGCTCTCAAAATAACTTTGAATTGGACCATCTCTACTCAACTATCCTAGTCATTGCTGCCATCATCTCTTCCCTTGCTTGAATCCATTTTATCTTCATATCTACCTGGTCTTCACTCATCCTTCTTACAAAAGAACTGAATAGGCAAGTAGGGTTTTAAAATGTCATTTTTCAAACTAATAAGGATATATGCCTACTGTATGTATACAGAGAATATGCAAATTTTAAGCATCACTTCTCCCACAGCTGAGCTGCTATCACCCTGGGGGTGGAATCTGGCAGCTGTTCCATTATCCATAAACAGTCTTCCTTAGCTTATTAAGATAGGACAGGAAGAACAAGGCTACATACCCATGGATATCTGCCTCAGACACTTTTGCAAGTTCTACAAATTGGATTTGGTGTTAAAGGGGAAATTAGCTGAAAAATAGTTGAATCTTGATTGGATCAGAATTATCAGCTCTAATCTTTTAACAATAAGAATTTTTTAAATTTGGCATCAAAATGAATACCCCAATATTCCTTCTCCAGTAAAAATCAAAGCTGGTGAGGCTACTAAATCAGAGGAGCTGAAGTATGAAAACCACACCAACCAAAGGACTTGGGCCAGGTTGAAATTCAAAACAGAAATAAGTCTTCCACTGATCCTGAACTGAAACAGTACCAGGAAAAAAAGTCATTTTCCAAAAAATTCTGGTCTTTGGCCAATAAAGATATTGTAGGATATTTGTTATTAAATATTGTAGGATACTTCTTTTTAAAATATCACCACACCTCAGAGACTTCTCTGATCTAAATTACAGATAAAAATCAGCCCGGCACCATTCTGTTTTCAAATCAAGAAAAATTTAATGAATGCCTACAAACTTTTTCTCAAGGAGTTTACAGCCCAGCAGAATGGTTTTGGGGGGCTTGTGAATGGAAATAAAATGAGTGAAAACTAGAAAGGAGCATGTGATAAGACTGACCTCTGATGTCAGCTCAGAGAAGGCAAAGGCTCATCTGCAAGAAAGGTTTTCTGATGTTTTCTCTGCTCCTGAGCATATATGTGACACAGAGTCAGTTCCTACCACAATGAGAGAATTAGTTATAGTGTGCTGCCCAATCGAATTTACAGCTTTTGATTAAAAAAAAAAAATCTTTTCAAGGGAGAAGGGCCCAGCTTTCTAACTGCTGAAACCAGACGGACGATGCCTCTGGAGTCTACTAGTGCTCCAGTCTGCCCTTTTTGACAAAAAAGACTGATTTAGATTTCTGAAATTATGAGCTGGTGTGACTGAGAATAAAAGCTGAAAGTACTGGGCTGGCCTAAAGGTTTGTTCAGGTTTTCCATAAGGTGTTACAGGAAAATCCAAACACACTTTTTGGCCAAGCCAATATATAGCACAGTAATGTCTCTTTATGATGCCAGTACTGAAAGGCAAAGCTGACATCTTCATCTGAGACTGTAAATAGTTACTATAACTTGTCAGAGGCACGATAACCTATGCACACATGATCAATCTGTGTCATAATTAGGAGCGTAAATTGTTATAATGACACAGAAAGCAATCTAAGCTCCAATCCAAGTTGCAGTTAAGGGAGATTTCCAACTGTTGCTTGAGGTGGCGGCCTTCTCTCACCACCAGGGGACAGCTGGTACATTGTCCCATATAGCAGCACTCTAAGTATTACTGAATGTCTGCCCTAACAGTGCTTCACATATTAAGAACACCTAGATAAAGACACAGCTGCAGGTAGAGTAGACCCCGTCTTTAAGGCCTGTAAACATGCTCCTTTTCTTAACTAAAAACGTTGTTGTTTACATTCCCTAAGTTGTGTCCGACTCTTCTGCAACCCTATGGACTGTAGCCCGCCAGGCTCATTTGTCCATGGGGTTCTCCAAGCAAGAATACTGGAGTGGGTTGCCATTTCCTTCTCCAGGGGATCTTCCTGGACCAGGGATCAAATTTGCGTCTCCTACACAGGCAGGTTGATTCTTTACCTCTGAGCCCCTAGGGAAGCAGACTAAAAATATAATCATCAATAAAAATAACAAAACTTGCCTAAACCTTGCTGCTCCCTCAAGCTACCATTCAAGGCTTCCCCTTCCTGTTCAAAATTCTCCAACAAACCCATCGCATGTCTCTTCTGCCTTACTTTGTAATTCCTTGTAATATAGTTTCTATTCCTGATTTTCCTTTCATTCATTCATTCATACAAACTCACATGTTTGGGGTGTCTGCAATGTGCTAGGCTCTATGCTAGGTGCTCAGGAATCATAGATACACAGAGAGAACTGGTCCTTGATCTCAGGAAGTCTACAATCTAGAGAGAGAAATTCTACTGTAAATAATCGTTCTTAAGAAAGCATTAACCTCACACCCATCCCCAGACTGGCACCATTTCAGCTCAACTAAACACACTATGTTTGTTTAGGAATATACTCTGTGTAGAGCACCATCCTGGGCTTTACACTGAGCTAGAATGATAAGCATTCTTTTCCCTCAAAAACCTTTCAGAAGATTAGACATTTATACAAAGCGTTTGAAACAAATAGGAATATATTAAGGGACATATGATGAAAGTTCAAAGTAAATGATTTGTAATTTGGGGGTTGGATAGAGAGAGAAAAGAGAAAACTCTTCTAGCTAGAGAAAAAGAAAGCTTTTTGGATGAGATGTTGTTTGTGCTGCCCCTAATAATTACAAAGAATGCAAAGTGCTCCACTGAGTTGGTCTTTGTTGTCTTCTTTCTTTTTTTCCTTTTTTGGTTTATGTATTTGTCTTCTCTGACTTATAAGATTATTTAAAAGGTGAAAATTATTAGTTGTATTTTGTAGACATGAAAACTGAGTCCTGGATAGGTCACCACTTATTTGAGGTCCTTGTGGCCCACAGGGTGCCCACTTCCCCACTCCCCAGCCCTGTGTTTTATCCATCAGACACAAATGCCTCAGAACAGACATAGCAGTTCCGTGGGATAATTGCATTTTAATTGAACTGTCTGTGCCTCTCTGTAAACGCCTCTGCAGAGATGGAAGGGTGCGGAGGATGATAAATAAAACCATTTCTGCTAATAAATGCTTCCGCATAAGGATTAAGGATCTAACCTCTGGGAGAAGGTGTCACTAAAAAGCGTGTGCTGAGATTCATTAACTTTTTAAGTAATTCCACAGTTGAAGCTGCATGTGGACTGCCCATCCTGTGCTTATGTAGAAAACCAGTGCACCTGCAAATGGGTGTGTGGGCTTCTTCCCAGTTTTCAACACCAAGGCTGTGATTAGAGTTGGTGAAAGATGATATTTTAATCTTCCACATGCATGCTTGTGTAGGGGGCTATTCCACAGCAGGGGAACATAACCAGAGAGCAAGAGCAGAACGCAGACCTTTCTCCAGAGACGCATGCAGTTGTTTGGTTTCTTTATGGTGTTTCCCCTGCTCTGGGAATAGAGAAGGTTGCGGGTGGGTCATCTGCTTCCATCCCCATTGTATGGTCCTGACTGGTTACATGGTAGGATAGTGCCTCGGATGCCCAAGGTCCACCTCTGGGTTCTTCCTTTTTGTCTTCCTTTTGTCTCTCTCTGCTGCTTCTGGCCCCAGACTCCAGACAGACAAGAGGCCCAGTGTGGTTGGGCTTCCTTCAGACTACATTCCAGTCCCAGCACTGCCACTTATTGCTGAGCAAGTTATAAAACTTCTCTGAACCAAAGTCTCCTCGTCCGTGAAATGTGGCTGCTAACAGCTAACTCCTTATGCAGTTTTGAGGATTCAGGGACCATGGAAGGCATGTAGCACAGTGCCTGGCACGTTCCAGTGCCCGCAAGTGTTGTCTGTCACCCGTGCTGTTCTGTCCCCACCCCAGTCCTTTCTCTTTCTTGCTTTCTCTTTGTCTTATCTGTGAGTATTAGACCTGCCTATGTCTGATCACCTTGGGGCTGGTATTGCATTAGATTGATGCTTAAGCGATACCGGGCTTCAGCAGCCTTTGTCTCTGACACCATGAATGATGAGAATGTGGAGGATGGTATTCTCTCTCATGCTTTATTTTTGTTTTGTTTTTATTAAGCCCTGAAAATAGCACCTGCCTGTAACCACACTGCAGCAGGTTGACTTAATCATGTCTAAAATATGGTATTCCCTTTCCTAAGGGGAAAATGCTAAAGAAATAATAATGGAACCGTAACTAGTAATCCATGTATTTTGCATTTTTTTTTTGCTCTAATGTGTGTAAAGCCTGCAATCTAATATTAGCTTCTATGCATCACCTAGTTATGGAATTTTTGTACAATCTCCCAGGCAACTACAGGTTTTTAGGCCACCTGTGTGAAGGTCTCTGACGTTTCAGTATCTGTTTTAAAGCTACATGTGCTTCCACCAAGTGAAGGTATGATCCTCAGACTGTAGAGTGATCTGTATCCCTAGTCTAGAAAGTGGTCTTTTTTAGTGTGAGTATACTCCCCCAGACTTTGAGAAGATGATCTTTAAGTGGAGCTGTAAGTGGTCAGGAAGTAGGAAGGAGAGGTCAGGTTACTGGAACAGAATTCTTTGTTGATGTGCCAATCCTCCATTCTAATGGAGCCATCTGATAAAGGGTATGGTTCCATATATAGAAAAATAGGTTACTATTTCTGGGTGATTTCAAAAAGAGTTGTTATATCTGGGACCCATGTTTTCCACCGGTAAGTTACATGGAAGTCACCTTTTCCTGATTTTTTTCAGTTTACTATCTTGTTTGTTTCTCAACAGTTCGCAAAGGTTACCGGATCCAAGCTGATAAAGAGAGAGACTCCATGAAGGTCTTATACTATGTCGAAAAGGAGCTGGCTCAGTTTGATCCAGCCAGAAGGATGAGAAGCAGATGTGAGCATCTGTTAGTTTTATGTGATCTGTGCATCATGCTAAAAGGGATTTGGGGGTGACCATACATGGGGAGCCCTCAGCTTTCAGGGTCAGAACTAGTAGGAGTGCTGGTAACACCACCCTAAAGAAAGTAGCTTTGAGTACACGGAGGAAAGAAAAAAGGGGTTCTGGTATGAAGAATAGGGTGGTAACAGGGAACTATATTCAATATCCTGTAATAAACTATAATAGGATAAAGAAAAAAAGAATAGCGCAATCATGTACCATCTTGGCTTCTGTTGCCTCTTTCCATGGGGCAGTCAGTATTGCTGGGCTGTGCAGTGGGATTGGAACCATTTTATTAAAACAGCCTTTCCCTACTACTTCCTTTAAAATATATTCAAAATAATGGCTTACATGTGGAAGCTTCAATATCAGTTTTTTCCAACATGAAATGCCCTAGCCTTGAATGACAGTCCAGCTGCCAACTTGCCATATCAATGAAAGTAAAAGAACAAGTCTGCCAAATGAATCTCGTAAAAAAGATGCCTACATTCCTTTCAGATACCCAGTGGCAGAGACTGAGGGGCAAGCAAAAAGTGAAAAGAATGTTTTACTTATTGAGTCTGTAAGCAGCAGGGCCCCAACCCTTAACTCACCCACAGACCTTGGAGACTTTGCAGCTGACATAGCTGATTCTTGATTTGGACTCCAGATTACTATCTATCATGAAAAGCAACACAGGGCAGGTCTGACATGGATGGGTTAATTAGCAGAGGTGCTGGCAGGAGTGGGAATGTGGTCACTACGCTTCTCTCTTTGAACCCTCCTTGCCTTGGAACCAACCCGAGACTCAATGGCATTGTTGGGAAAACAGTCCCAGACTAGAGGAACTTTATTCAGATTAAGGACAACATATTCCTCCCAGTTTGCAACTCTAATTTCATCCTGTCTGAGTTGCATCCATTGCTACCTCCTCCCACCACACTGGCTATAAAAAGACCATCTCCAGATTGGAGTGTCAGGAATGCAGATGTCACTGCGCTTGACAAGCAAGTTGTAACAGTGTTGTCATGGGTCCCTGTAAGGGGACAGACAGCAGAGGCAGTCAGAGTTCGCGGGGAAGGAGCCCATGGAGGAAATCTGTGAACTCACAGCTCAGAGGGAGAAAAAGAGGTTAGAAATAAGGGGTGGATCCCGGTTCAGGTGATGTCTCCCGTCAGCCTGGATTAAAGTGGTCTCCAAAGGCGTGGGTGGCCAGAAGGTAATGACCAAGGAATCTTAGAGTCCAAGGGGTGGCCTGCGTCAACAGATGAAGAAACAAAAGCCCAGAAGGTTGAAGTGACAATATCAGGACTACAACCGAGGTCTGCAGATTGCAGTCCTGTGCTTTTCTGCTCAACTAGAAACTTTGGAGCCAACTGTGGATGGTGCCATGGCTGCAGTAGCAGTTTATATTCGAAGCTCGCAGCCTTCTAACTCTTAGGACTTTAGGATGTTGGAGCTGGAAGAGACTGAGATTGTTGAATCTACCTCCCTCATTTTATGGAGGAGGAAAGGGAGGCCGAGAGGGAAAGTAACCAGTGCCAGTACTTACTGCCAGTGCCAGAACTGGAGCCCAGAGCTCCTGAAACCTGCAGGTTCACATTATAATAACTGCACAGAGATGAAGTAGAAATCTAAGTTCTCTTTACTTTGAGAGGTTCTATCTCTAAAGAGCAAAGTAAACCCTGGGGTGGATCGTGGCCATGGGATAGTCTTGAAGATCTCATCTCATAAAATGAGCCACACCTAGTTTCAGGTGTGGCAAAGGAGTAATAGATTCTGTGAGAAATGGGAGAAATTCAGGCCCATGAATTTCCCAGAATGTGTGATCCTCATTCACCTACTCTTTTTAAGTAGGGGGTTACTCTGGGGATATTTTAGTCTGGAATCAGCAAACCACAGCTCCCAGAGCACATATGTTCCACCTCCTATTTTTGAAGTTAATTTTCTTGGAACATAGCCATGCCAATCTACTTGTCTTATCTATGATTCCTTTCATATTGCAATAGCAGAGTTGAACAGTTGTGACAGTAAGACTTGCAAAGCCTACAGTATTTACTATCTGGCCCTTTACACGAAAAGTTTGCCTCTCCTGCCCTAGAGTTCCATTATTAGGTGTCTCTGAAGTGGGGGATGTTGATGTTCATGTTCACTGTGGCAGAAGTTTCAGAATAGCATACAGCCTGGACCATCCATCATATGAATGGAGAAACATCTCTTCCTCACTATCTGAAGAGATGAAAAATGTCCATTATTCCTTGAAGTTTAAGGCAAATTCTGAGCCAATAATGTAATTTTTCAATAAACACACTTGGTGCATTTTAAAGTTCTCTTCTGTATGGTTTCCAGAAGACTGGAATTCACTGGCATCGTGAGAAAAGGAAGAATCTAGATTTTATTAACCAATAGGATCTGAGTTATTTCCCTTTAAAATAGGCAGGCACTAGACCATTCTTGCAAGGAGGAAAAGACTTAGATTATAATTCAAAACCAACTGATCACATGACCAAACTGAATGGCATTCCTGGGCAGCCCAGTGTCCTGGTCAAACAGGACAAGGAGGTTGTGTTTATGCGGTGCAGGGAGGTCCTCCCTTCCCTTCAGGGGTGGGAACCAGCAAAATTCCTCTGCTCCCCTAAGGACTGTTGGGGATGGGGAGGAGATAAGGTAGAGGGGAACCTGACGCACACTTGTGCTTCCCACATCTGATCCTAGTGTACCTCTCATTCGGCAGCCAGGCCCTACACCTTATAATTGTTGATTTTGATAATAGTTTGAAGTTCAAAGGATTTTTAGAAAACAATGGATTCAATTACATTACAAATAGCTTTGCTAGATTTACTTTTTCAGTAATATGAAATTCAATCCATTTCAAAGTTTTAGAAATAAATAGTTTTTTTTTTTCCCTTTCCAGATTGTGATTCTGGTCCTTATTCACAAGTGCTTTTGCGAAAAGCTACTTAGGCCACCCTAAAAAAATGAGAAAGTTATGACCATCCCCTCCCTTTTTACATTTTTGGGCTGGGACCAGAGCATAAGTGGAGGCCCATAGACCATAAGTGCAGCCTAACCTTCCCCTTTTCTTCCTACACTTCCAAACAGCTATCCTGGCCATCCATGGCCACATATACTTGAATAGTCTGGGGAGTGAAGAGGTCTACTCAAGCCACAGAAATGGACTTGGTACTGTTCAGGGAAAATATTCCAGGTTCCCGGATGAACATCCAGAAGCAGGGTGTGCACACTCTCTTCGTCCTGTGGACCCCATGCTCTGTGGGGAGGGGCACAGCAGCAGCTGGGACGGGGTGCATGTGAAGCACCGCATGGGACTGGCTCTGAAGGCTCCATCTTGGGACGCAGATAACAGCAGGGAAGATACTGTGATCCATGGCTTTTCTCTCTTTTTGCTCCTTTTGCCTCATGCCTGGGATCATCATGGCTCTTCACTGATTTAAACAAGAAGAAGGATGAGCAAGATGATGATATACTAGGAGGAGACCAGCTGCAGAGAGCCTAAGTTCTGGAAAGCCTGCCTTAGGTGGAACAATAACAATTGTTTTCCTATTCCAAGAACAGAGCATGTGGGAAGCCTCCCTCCCTGTAGGCAACTAGGCTTCCAACTGAAGCCAGTTCCTGCTGAGCTGAGAATACAAATACCATTAGTTCAGGTCTACAACCCACCCTGGACAGGACTGAGACCCTCGGGTGGGAGTTTGCCAAAGCTTCCAGTCTTAGCCCTTAACCAAGTTCCTGTTCTGTCCTCCAGGTAGAAAGCTCTGTCATGCTTAGTTTTTGTCCCTGCAGATAACAACACCATCTCGGAACTCAGCTCTCTGCATGAGGAGGACAGCAGTTTCCGCCAATCTTATCATCAGATGCGAAACAAGCAGTTCCCTGTGTCTGGGGACTTGGAGAGCAATCCTGACTACTGGTCAGGTGTCGTGGGAGGCAGCAGTGGGGCAAGCCGGGGGCCCTCGGCCGTGGAGTATAACAAAGAGGATCGGGAGAGCTTCAGGCACAGGTGAGGGTAACTGGCAAGGCAGCTCTGGTGCTGGGCGCGAGGAGGCGAAAGCTGGGAGGCAGGATGGGTCTGAGGCTGCGAGGATCTGAGAACGGCTCTGTCTGCCCTTCTAGGTTATCCTGCCGCATCTCTCTGTGGCTATTGAACATCCCTTTCCCACATGTATTAAGCAAGGGAACACGAGGCACCATGTGCAGAAGTAATCAGGTCAAATGCCAATTATACTGTTGGATTTGATTCTCATAATTCTAAAAGGCAGGTACTATTAATGTCCTCCCAGTTTTAAGTTGGGGAAGCTGAAACTTAAAAAATCCTGAGGAACTTGCACAGGGTCATGTGGTCAGAGAATGTGAAGGGACAAGATGTGGGCCTGGTTTGGTATGGCTGATGCCCAAGATAGCGCCTTCCCCACTCACCTGTCCTTTATATTGAAGGACAGTAGATACCCTCTTCTCTCAAAGCACCAACTGCGGGTCCCTCTGGCCTGCTGCCCCACGAGGTAACTTGCCCTCCGCTCTGAGGAAGGAAAAGGCCTCTCTTTATCACCAAATATCACAGGGCTCCGTGGGCCACAGCTGTTTGGACAGCAGGCCACATTGCCCATGCCGGCTTTGAGGGTGTGAGAAGTGAGTCAGGAGGCTGTCAGCCAGAGGTCATACCATAGTGGCCAAAAGAGGGCCCCACGTGTGTTTCAGCACCGTGTAGATCAAAAGTAGTTTTATTCACACAACCCCTTAATCCGTGACGCTAACTCACCAGACGGACGGACGTCTTGACTTGGCTGTGATTCTGAGGCGTGAGAGGTGCCTGGGGTCATGCATCCAGCCAGGAGCAGAGCCGGGCCTCTGGCTGCGCAAACTCCTGAGCGAGGCCCGACACGATGGGGTCCTTAGATCCCAGCGCAAGCCCCCTGCCTCGCGCGTCTGACAGGTCGTGGGTACCTGGGCCTTCCAAGGACTGACCGGCGCCTCCTCTGCCCGCAGCCAGCAGCGCTCCAAATCGGAGATGCTGTCCCGGAAGAACTTCGCCGCTGGGGTGCCCGCCGTCTCCATGGATGAGCTCGCGGCCTTTGCCGACTCCTACGGCCCGCGGTCCAGCAGGGCGGACGGCAACAAACAGGAGCTCCGATGCGGGAGCCGCTTCGAGCGCTCGGAGGCGCGGGCGCACGGGGCCCTCTACCAGGACGGCTCGCCGGAGGAGTACTATGGGCCGCGGAGCCGCAGCCGGGAGCCCCTGCCCGACGCGGACCGCGGCTGGTCCTACAGCCCCCCGCGCCGGCGGCCGCCGGACGACGCGCACTTGCCGCGTCTGGTGAGCCGCACGCCGGGCACCGCGCCCAAGTACGACCACTCGTTCCGCGGACCCGGGCTGGAGAGGCAGGTGCGGCCGGAGGGCGCCAGCCGCGGCGGCAGCCTGGAGACGCCGTCGAAGCTGAGCTCGCAGCTCGGCCCTCGCAGCGCCTCCTACTACGCCTGGTCGCCGCCGGCCACCTACAAGGCGGGCGCGCCTCCGGACGACGAGGAGGACACGCCCGACGACACGTTGCCTCCCTACAGCGAGCTCGAGCTCAGCCGGGGCCCGTCCTACCGCGGCCGCGACCTGCCCTACCACAGCAACTCGGAGAAGAGGAGGAAGAAGGAGACACCCGTGAAGAAGACGGTGAGGCCCAGGCGGCCTCCCTGGGGGCCGGCGGGCACAGTCGCCATCCGGGGGCCGCGGGGCTGGGGAGGAAGGCGAACAGAGCGGGAGGGCCTGCCATACGCCGGGTGGGGCCCGGGTGGAGAGAGCAGACCCTCCTACCTGGGGAATCCGAATGTTAGGCTGCTCTGTCCCCCACCTCCTTCTACCCAGGCAGGACCAGGTGAAGTAACTGGACTTGGAGCCCGGAACGTTGAGAAAAAGCAGAAGTAGCAGATAAGTAGGTGCAGCAGATTAGCATCAACGGCCAGCTTTAAGAAGCGTTTGGCATCAGGGATTCTAGGGGGTCATTCCCACCACAGGCCTTGGGGTGGGACGATCTATGCTCTATGCATGCTTATATGTGCGCTCCTCCCTACCGCCTGTAGGGTGAGGGTTTGTAACTTGCATCAAACGCCGGAAGAGTCCACATTCCAGAGGTCAGTAGCCGTTGGTATTTATGAAGGACAACTCACTCCTTTTTTTCCTTTGACGTTTTATTGAGTGTAAACTGTACTATGCCTGTATATGTGAAGGAAACCTTTCCATCCCTGCCCAACTCATTTGTCTCTTGTGTAAGTGGCCTTATTTAGACTTTATTGTTGTCCCTCTAAATGCCAAGAGCTGCCCAGTGAATCCTGCAGCCCCCTAATGTGAGCTCTGAACCTCAGAGATTGTTGGGGGACAAATCACAGGTCGTTGTGGGTTTCCAGGGCGCCTCTGTGCTCCAGAGGCCCTCTCCAAGGCTGGGTGCTACTGCCCCCTCTTCAGTTACCCTGCCTCTCTCGTCGTTTTGTTTTTCTCACTGTTTCCAGCAGCACGTTTGCTTTAGTGTATAATACAGGGAGAGAACATGGACATAAAAAGGTTCTGGCATGATTATTAACCCCTCCAAAACAAAATCTGCAGTGACCCAAGTATTGTGAGTAGAGAAGGAACTTTCAGGTGATGTCAGATTTACGGTGCACCATCCACACCAACTGTTGTGGAACTGTAAACATTTTAGATATCCCTAAAGGGGTGAGAGGTTTTTCTGTGGTCATGGAACTAAGTTCTATAAGATACATGTTGGCTTCAGCACCAATTGAGGCTTAGGGGCAGTAGTCACAAGCTTAATGAAATGTCCTAAAAGTCAGAGTGTGCTAGGCTCTGAACAGGTATGGATTCTTCCCAGAGAGCCATTTGTTGTGTTTCTTTAATCAAGCTTTTTCTGTTCTTTCCCCAGAGTGACTTTCCAACCAGGATGTCCCTTGTGGTCTGATATTTGTTTTCAAGACAACTCACTGAATGACTGGGAATTGGAAACAGAACACGGGAACAAGACACAAATCCAAGAGCCAGCAGGCCCGGGACCTTCTTGGGCCACCACCTTGGAAGATTTGCTGATCTTTGCTTTGGCAAGGGATGGGGGGCAGCCTTTAAGGGAGGCTGATTCCAAACCTCAGTGCCCATCTAACTAGTTTGAGAAACTTATGAAGAAAACAGCTACAGGTGAACACATTCCCACACGTGGAGTTTATCACCCAGAGTTCTTCCTGCCCTGTCTCCTCCCTTAGCCAAACCAGGATCCCTTTTCCATTTCTGAAAGAGAATTAGCTCTGGACTGCTAATCTCCAGATAATGCCTGTGCTACAGTCTGCTTTTCCATACCTCCTGTGCTGTGCTTAGAGACAGAATCGATCACTACTATTAGAAGGCCTTTACCCACAGCAGAAGATAGCTTCAGGCAAAATACACCTTTAGCCCCGTCGCTTCCCAGTCACCAGTCAGTGACGGCTGTCACACTGCAGTCAGGCCTGTGGTGAGCTCACTGACCGTGACCTGCCGGACAGTCACAGAAATGACTTCAGTTTGCTGTTCTGAATGACAGTTCTTGGCTGGAACAAAACAAGAGCTGTCGAAGCGGTGTTTCTTTCTCCATTCTAAGAACATGAACTGCCTTTTCTCTCGTCATAGCGATGTGAGTCTTGGACATCAAGGGTTCTTCTCGTCTTCCCCTTTCCTGGGCTGGCCACAGGTTGGTGCCACACACAGAGCCCCGTGTCCCTCTGCACTCTGATTAGGTTATCATCAGGTGCCTTTTGATAAATGCTGAAGATACGCATATGAAAGAGAAGAGGGGAAGAAAAAAGAGGAGAAAAGAATAATGCAAAAGAAAGAAAAATGAGAAAGAATCTAAGAAGAAAAGAATGTATGGTCTCACTATATGTTGAATATGGGCCATTTCCTCCACAGGCTCCACTGGCTCTTCTGTGTGTTTTATACTTCATTTACCGTGAGTTGTTCCTGCCCATCCCAGTTTCATCATTCCAGGACACCTGAGTGTGGAGCGGGCATCACCAGGCTGCCACTCTAGATGCTCTTGGGAGATGAGGGATACTGCTTTCTCAGGAAGGAGCACTTCCTACTCTGTGTGTGCATGCTAAGTCACTTCAGTCGTGTCTGACTCTTTTCAACCCCATAGACCATAGCCCGCCAGGCTCCTCTGTCCATGGGATTCTCTAGGCAAGAATACTGGAGTGGGTTGCCAAGCCCTCCTCCAGGTGATCTTCCCAACCCAGGGATCAAACCTGCTTCTCTTACGTCTCCTGCATTGGCAGGTGGGTTCTTTACCACTGGCACTACCTGGGAAGCCCTTTTCTACTCCCACCCCTGCCTAAAGGATAGATTTTGCCTAAATCTCAAATCCAGGTCTCTTTGGATTTCATAATTTGTATAGATTGTTTAAATTAAAAAAAAAAGCTACAAACTCTTCCCTTCTCATCAAGAAGTGCAGTCTATTTCTCAACCCCTTGAATTTGGGATTGGCCATGTGATTTGATTTAGCCAGTGGCCTAATAACAGATGTGACAGAAGTAGAAACTGACAGATTCATGTGCATGAGAAAGTTTGTCCTCTCTTGCTACTTTGGGGAACCTTGCATCACCACCAGGTAAATTAGCCTGGCTGGCTTGCTGCATGATGAGAAAAAGGGCCCGGTTACCCCCATCACCCTAACTGGCAGCCTATCAGCTCTCAGCTGATTGCAAACATGAGTGATCCCAGCCAAAACCAAAAGAAGAACTGCCTAGCTGAGCCCAGCCCAAATTGCTGATTGTAACTCAAGGCATGAGAAGCTGGTCCACTGTTTAAATGTTCATTTTTCTTCAAGGAAAAAGCTGACTTTTTTTTTTCTTGTCTGAATATTTAACCCCCAAACTCCAGACTCTGTCTAACCTTAGGTGACTGCGAGTCCCTACTTTCTTTGACAGACTTTTGTCAAAGCTTTCCACCCCACACTCTTGTGATGGGATACTTGTTTAGGTCAGATCACTGGTAGAGAGTGTTGCTTGGTCGCTCTGTCCCTCTGCTTCAGCAGTGCTCCATCCTCTGTCTGTGGATCCATGGACAACTGCTGAAGAAAGTTTCTTCCTGAGCATCTCTTTGGTCTTCTCTGGAACAACCTGACTGGGGCTAGGCCCTTTTCTCAGAGTACCATTGCACTGATGTCCATTTAATCCATGGCATTTCCAAACCAGTTCTGTGTGTGCAATGAAATAAATAAGTGGCTGGGTGAGGGTCAAAAGGATGAGTTGATATCATTGCTGGGGGTAGAACTGGCCTGCCAAAGGACTTCATAATGGCCTTGGCCTGTATGAGTTGAACCAGGAGGACAATTCAGCCCACTGCTGGCACTTCCAAGGGCTGGAAGACACAAGCCATAACCCTGGTGCTGAGTTTTTAGACTCGCTAGTGTCCTTGTCGTCCGAAAGCCTAGGTCTCATCTGTCTGTTTGGGCCCCATTTCCACTGGAAAAGATGATTAAAACACCAATTCTTAGTCACCAGCTTTGTATTTTAAATTGCTCAGGCAATTTTGGAGAATCTTGGGTAGCTGAAGTAGTTATTATTTCTTTATACTGAGCACTGTGTCAGGCTATTCACCACCAAAGAGCCCCACAGCACCAGCTGCAGAGACCAAAAATACTGCTTTCGTTAGCCGGGGGCATTTGTGATTTTGGTGACGGGAACCATGGGAAAGAATTAAAATCGGAAACCTGAAGGCAACAAAACTACCAGCAGACAATAAAAAATAGAAAGATGATAACAGGTTACTGAAATAACCTGGGTATATGGGACCAGGTTGTCCTCGGAAGGGCTGCATACATCACTCAGACCTCCAGGTTTCTGGTCAAGAGAGCAAACAGTCATTTCTGGGTATGTGGACAGGAGATAAATCTGACCTGACAAGTAAAGGCAAAGCTGGCCATCCTCAGCACCCTGGCTTTTCTCAGCACATCCTTCTGTTCCTTTCCCCCTGACTAGTCCTGTGTAGAAAGTGCTTACACATGTTAGCTTCCTTCCTTTGTTTTATTGGGGGTAAAAGATTAGGGTTGTGTAAGACAAGATCTCTGTCCATGCATGCGTGTGTGCTCACTCACTCAGTCAGGTCCCACTCTTTGCAACTCTATGGACTGTAGCCCGCCAGGCACCTCTGCCCTTGGGATTTCCCAGGAAAGAATACTGAAGTGGGTCACCATTTCCTCCTCCAGGGGATCTTCCTGACCCAGGGACTGAGCCTCATCTCCTGCGTCTCCTGCTTTGGCAGTTGGATTCTTTACCACAGCCACCTGGAAAGCCCACTCTGTCTATGGGGACCCTGCAACTGAATAGAGGAAACAAGAAATCCCCAAGAAAGAATTGGGAGATTTTATACGTATAATATGAAATATTGCTATGGATAAATTACAACAAACCCAGAGAATTAAAGTTTTTTTATTTAAATGGGTATATTTTGATATCTAAGTGTTGTGTGTATTTGTCCATTCATCCTATTTAAAGACATGCTTAGTGATCTGAAAAGCCAGTATTGAAAAATCTGAGCTGAAAGAGGTGAGTTAGAATGGGGAGGGGTGAGAGGCAGAGGGCTGAGGAGGATGATGCTGGAGAGTGTTTGCCTGTGAGTCACAGCTGAGTCAGGGACGTGTTGGGTGAGGGGGCAAGGAGGCAGGTGCCAGGTAGATGAACTTCTCTAGTTTCTCATGCAGAAACTCATGAGGAAGCTGGGAGCATTTGCCATGGACCTGGCGCTCATGGGGTGCTCTCCATCTGCTCCTCCAGGGGTTCAGTTCTGCGGCCATGTAGTGTTGCTGCCCACCTTCACTCACACAGGGAATATCTTGCAGAGATGATGGTTCTCCCATCTCCCTTTCCACACCAGGCAGACTGTGCAAACTGGGCATGGGAAATGGCTGTCACTCTAGCCTAAGAAACATCTAGACCTAGCCACACCTGTAAATATTTCTAGTCTGAAAGACTTCCTACAGTAATCCAGTCAGACCTTAGGCAGCCTTTGAGAGAGGCTGAGGCCACGGATTGTGTTGTAACCCAGCCCCTCTTTTCTTTAAAGATGGAGAAATAAACCACTGCTGCCATTAGTGAAGTCAAAAACCTAACTGAGTCTTTTCTTTTGGATTAGCATTTTCCCAAATTGTCTAACCATATAAGTTACCTGGTTGCTGCTAAAAATGTAGTGTTGGACCCTGCCCAGAAGATTGATAGGATGGGTCTGGAGCTAGGATTTGTACTTTTAACACGTATTTCAGGAGAGTCCTGTGATCACATGTATTTGGAAAATCTTACACTAGATCATACCTCATCATGTGCCCCAAACACTTAGTCCTGAGGGTTCCTTGGGCTTCGGATATTTTTCTTCAGATGTCCTGGTACAGTCGCTCACACTCCCTTGGGCCTGACAGTGGAGAAGCCCCCAGCAGTCTCACTAGAATGGCGGTGACTGGCTTACCAGGGTCCAGGGGTAGGAGCACTGTGCAAGGCAGAGAGAAAGGATGGCTAGGAACCCACCCTAGGAGGCTGTTCCCAATGCTTCCAGTCCTGGAATAGAGATCCTGTTGTGACAGTCTCAGATCTGACAGGAATTGCAGGTAACTTCCTCATTCCCCTGATGTCATTCTGAGCAAAACTTAGATCATGAATAGAAAGAAACAAGACCTTGGGGGAATGGCAAAAAGAAATCATTTTTTGAAAGATTCAAATCGCAGCCTGACTGGTCAACACTTTCTCCTTAAGACCCAAATTGAATGAGCAAAAATAATGAAATCTATGTTACATATCCTTCCAACATCAGATTTAAATGTTGCCACAATCTTACAGGATTTTGAAATTGATTTATAGAATGTAGAGATCCAAATTCACCAAAATGGGGGCCAGGTACGAGGGTGCCTAGTTTTTTCCTGTCAGGATCCTTCCTCCTTTTCACCTG